GCGCGGATTCGCACGCTAAATTAACACAACGCTAAACGAGTGAGAAAGAAGGTGCACCTACCGCAACGACGGCGTGGATACGGTGGCCAACCGTATCCAAATAACACGTAGTTATTAAACTGCTCCGCTGCTCTGCCTCTAACGCTGTTGCCGCTGTTGTTGTTGCCGCTACTGTTGCTGCTGTTATTGCTGTTGCTGCTGCAGTTGCTGTTGCCGCTATTGCTGCTGCTGCTGCTGATGCTGCTGTCGCACGCACTCACCCGCGCAAATCACAATGTCAGTCAGTGGCAAAACAAAACGAGAAAACTCGGGACGGATGGAGGTTAGGCGCACGGATCGACTGAGTAACACAGTCATACTGCCGGTTGCTACCTCCCCTCCCGGTCAGTGCCCCTTACGCGCTCTCTCTCTCGCGAACCGAACGCGGCTCACCTCGCTTAACCGCTAATTACCTCGCGCGAGTCAAACGATTTTATATATATATATATATATATATATAAAGTAGAATATATTATTCTGCTTAATATATATATATATATTCTGCTGATAAGAATAAATATATATATTCTGCTAAAGAATATATATATATATTCTGCTGAATATATATATATATATATATATATATATATATATATATATATATATATATATATATATATATATATATATATATATATATATATATTCTCAGACGCGTAATTTTCGCGTCGCGATGTCTAGTATTTTTTTTGGTTACATAAAAAGTATTACTCACTTCGTATTATTATTGTAAATATAAATTGGTCCAAAATATTATTCGCTTCGTGATGTGGCCAATCACTTTTTCTTTGAATCTGATCAGATTAACTGGTCCAATATATTTTTTATACAATACTGTAGTAGCACGCGAGACAATGCTAGTTCCTATGATTTTAGTTGTCTAATATATTCTTTATCCAATAGTGTAGCAACACCCAAGAAAATGATAATTTCTGTGATTTTTTGTTTACGCAAAATTATTAAAAGAATCGTACTCGACACTTCTAATATTTAATCACAACTCAAACAATTTTATTCTCAAACTTCTATTATGGTTTTAATTTCAGTAGGAAAAATATGCGGCCTTCTTTATTGAGCGCTCGCTCCTACTGACTAATTCTCTTTCGCTCTGCTTTCGCTGGTTTATTATATAGCCTTTGTCCCTTGCATACCGTCTCTCTCTCGTGCATATGCTTTAGACGTTTACGCTTCTCGTAGCCGCTCGTCTTACCTAGCTAAGCACGCCGACTGCAGCATGCTGTCCCAGCATGCTGAAGCAGCGTGAATCAGCCTCTGCCGCTCATTCCCACCGAGTCGCGCACACGAATACTGCTAGCTATACTATGTCCGAACGGAAATCCCGAGAGCAAAATATTATTCGATAGTGTATAATTGTAACATAATAAGACGTCAAGTAACACCCATCACGCCATTACAATACACCAAAGGTTCCATTACTGAAGTTTCAACTGTCGCTTTCGAATGAATAAATTCAATTTTTTCCATTTGAAAAAATTTATCCACATCGTGATTTTTAGATACGAGTTTATTTATGACATCTGTTTCAAAAATTTTTTTATCACTTGTGTCATTTTTGAAAAATGAAACAACGCCTTTTGTAGTTCTCAAACTGAAGTTATAGGTATTTTGTAAATTGGAAACATCTTCGACAGAGATTGTTTTATTTTTGGCTTTCACCAGTTTTATCAACACTTTTAACGGTTTACCGTGAGTTTGCGAGAGAGAAATACTTCTGCTATCTGCATTGGTATTTTCTTCGACAAGATTCATTTTTCTGTCAGTAACGAAGAAACGACATGATCTGATTCCTTGTTTTCAAGTTTTTGGGCTACTTTCAAAATATTTTTCACTTTACCCACACATTTATGTATAACACCTCTATGAATGACTGAAAAGCACCTTGTACACCTTTTTTCCACAGATTATTGCTTTTTTTTTGCTTTTTCAACTTTGGTATGTTTTCGATTTCTAATTGTTTCACAAAGAAAACAGTTGCACGCACTATGACTCGATCTCGTAGAACGAAAATTAAATTTTGAAAAGTCAGGCAGAATAATCTTCTTTTTTTAATTATTTTTTTAAAACAATTAGATGGAGAGAACTAAAGAAAAGGGAAAGAAATGAAAAAGATAAAAAGGGTATGAAAGAGGAGAGAGAGGAAAGGCTAGAAAAAAGTAAAATATACAGAGAGAGGGAAGAGGGAGATGAAATGAGGGAAGAGTTTTGGGAAGAAATAAGAGATGAGCTAAAGAAAAAAGAAGAAAAAGAACTAGAAGAAAAACTAGAAAAATCAAGATACATAAACGAGTGGAAAGAACTGAAAGAAGAAATGAAAAGGTATAGGTTAAAGGAAATTCAAGGAGAGGGAAGAATAAAAGGCCTACAAATAAGGGAAAGGTTTAGATTAGGTAATGAAACGAGAGGAAGCAGATATTGGGAAAAAGAAGAAAATAAGAGATGCAGAATGTGTATGAAAAAGGAAGAAAATTGGAAACACATAGTAGAAAAATGTAAAAAAAGCAGAAAGGAAGGTGAAGAATGGGAAAAAATAATAATAGGAAGCAAAGAAAAGATAGCGTGGATGATGGAGATAAAATGGAAAAGAAGAAGAAACGAAGCAAAGAAAGAAAAAGAAAAACAAGAGGACGAAACTGCAAGACCCTAAGGAGAGACGGAAACAGAAGACAGAGAAGCAAGACTCGCAGACACATCTACATACACACACACACCCACACACACATACATACACACAAAACACGCACACACGCGCAAACATAAACATACACATGCACACACACACAAAACACAAGTACTAGCAACTACACAAGCGAGAGGAAGCAGGTATTGGAGGATGGAGCAAAATGGAAAAGAAGAAGAATCGAAGAAGAGAAAGAAATAGGTAAATTAGAAGACAAATTATAAGATACAATTATAAATTAGAAAATAAGTGAGATTGAGGAAAGGAAAGGCAGAGGGAGCAATAGGAATTAAGAAAAAGGTGTCAAAGCCCTAATAAGGAGAAAGATAGATGAAATGATTAGCAAGAATAAGATCAAAGGAAAGGCAAAAGAAAGTAACAAAGGAAAAGGTTGAAAAGAAAATATGCAAGAAAGAGATAAACAGAAGAGCGGAAAAAGCAGATCTTGGAAAGAGAGAGAGAGAGAGAGGAAGAGAAGATTAATCAACAGAAAAATAGGAAGAAGAGCTGAACAGACAGAAGCAGAAGACGGGAACGCAAAAGTTGCAGACACACCTACATACGTACACATATACACAAAACACACACACACACACACACACACACACACACACACAAAACACATACATTATCAATTACACAAACTGGATACGAGACACAATTGTAATATAAGAAATGAAAACCAAATGTAACATATAAGTTGTAAATGAATAAACTAATAAACTATAATTTCTAATTCATTAAACGGCCCAATTTCTGGTAATTCTCCAGCAATTTATTAAACAGAATCTGATATTGATGACTTTTCTGATTTCTCAGGAAGTTTTGTACTACTGCTTTGAAGGTGATCCATGCTGTTTTCTCGGTATCGTTCGTTCTCGTAACAAAGTACTGATCTGCAAATAAAGTTCAAATTTGTGGTCCGTCGAAGATTCCTTCTTTTATCTTCGCATCGCTCATTTCCGGAAATTTCGTTCCCAAGTATGCGAAACAATCATCATCTTTGTTTAGAGGTTTGACAAACTGTTTCATAAGACCAAGTTTTATGTAAAGTCGAGGCAAGAGGATATTTGTGGACTCAACCAGAGATTTCCGAATAATATTTTTAAACCTGGTTCCATTTCTCCTCTCCTAGTCCATTCCTTTTTTGATAGTGGTTGATTCGATCTCTACTATCGCACAAACAGATGAAGGGATATTTAGTGAGTCCTGAATTAAGTGTTGCGATCTTCATATCACCACATATTTTCCATTTGTTCTCTGCATATTTGATCTTCTCTATAACTATTTCCAATTTATCATACGTCGCTTTGAGCTTGATGGAATGTGCTATTGCAAGAGGTGCGAAGGTATTTCCATTGTGAAGAAAAATGGCTTTGAGGCTTTGCTTCGAGGAGTCGATAAACAGCCTCCATTCCGCGTCTCTATAAACATTTGGTTTAATTTCTCCATATTTTTAAAATTTTCTCATTATTTCAAAAATTAATTGCCAAAATTTATTTAATTTTTTCGAAATAGTTTTTCGTTAATTTTTCACTTTCAAAATTCACCAAAGTTTCAGGAAATTTTTCACGAAAGATGATGGAAAGTCATTGGTATAATGTTTGGATGTGAAAGGTTTGGTAATTGAACTTTACAATTTTGTTATGATAACGCGATTTGTGTGTGCGCTTCCAACATTTTCGAAATCATAATCAATGTCAGCATGTATGCGATTCCGAAAATCAACAGGTTATGCCATATTCCATTCCTGAATGATTTTATTTCTCTTGGCCTTCAAATTTTATAACCGCAATTTTGTCAATACTTCCGAAAAAATTCATTTTCACATGAGTATTATCACGTGAATACATATGTAGATGATTTAGACAATTACATCTTCTGATATAAAAACATCTGGCCTCTTACATGATCAACCAAGGAACTTGAGTACATTATGCAGCATATCTCGTGTTAAGTTCAATAATTTGTAAGAATAATGAGTGAGATAGGTGACTGATCTGTATAAAAAATGATACTACCTAGAGATTTATTTAGCTCTTAATTGTTTAGCTTGATTATTAGAACAACTCTATCTAGCAAGAGAGCGCTCAGTCATTATGGTTACTTCACATGCACATTCGAAACACATTTTTAGCTGAGGCGCACACATAAACTACTATCTTTCCAAAATTAATTTAATCTCATGAACATGTGTTAATAAGTTAATTTTAATTGTATAAAATCAAAACATAAGTTAATCGATTCAAATATCATATTACAGGTTTTGCTACACATAGAGCCGAAAGAATTCACTGTTGAACCTATCACCTTGCAATCATTACAGCAATTGATCCAATGGACAACTAATTTTGCTTTGAATTTATTAGTTCGCCTTCCAGAACAAAAATTGCAAAATAAATCAAGTGGAGTAAGTTACATAAAATATTGATAAATATTGACATGATATTTGATACTTAATAATATTTTTCTTTATAGTATGAAATTTTAAGAGATCAAAAAGCTATTAATATATTACGAGAACTCCTAGTAATTATTCGGATTTGGGGTTTACTACGACCTTCTTGCTTACCAGTATTTCTCAAAAGTGCAGATAACATCGATGTTTTGGGTTTACTTTTTCAACTTCTATCTAAATTAATTCAACCTAGTAATGAAGTTCATCATTTTGACGATCACTTAATTGGTTAGAAAATATTTAAAGTAAATGCATAAAATATAAGAAACATTCAAATTCAAGAAAACCGTAACGCTGTTGCTAATGAGGTCGGTTATTTCTTTTTTTTTCGTTACTTTTGATCTTTAATAATCAACAGATGTTTATCCATGATCCAAGTTGTATAATATTTATATAATGTAGTATTCGTAAGTATATCAATTTAAGTGTACAAAAAAATTGAAATTAAGACATTCATACAAATTAAAAGCCATTAATAGCAATAAAAACACTTCGAATCATACTGTTCAGTAGGCTATTCTACTGTCTTGCCATACCATTCAGCGGCGAGTCAAAATTCACCTTATCACATCTAAAAAATTAGACGATTTATCCCGTTTCGGCCCAGGAGGACCCTTGTTGGACGTCATTCTTTGATGGTTCATCACTAACTCTATCGGCGCACAAAAGAAATTCAAAAGGACATATTTTTATAGTTCAAATGGTACTCTTTCTTATGGTGGCATCAAAATTAAAAAAAAATGTTTACTATGCAAAAATGCAGTTTGAAAAAAATCACCAATTTTTCAAACATTTTTTTAAAATCAATATTCCAAATGGTTTTCGACCTGGAAAAGACCTGAGACCTAACTAACTGGTGACATAAATGTCTGAACATCAAGATTAAATGATTTTCCGATCCATTTTTTGCTTCGCAGTTTTCAAAAGGGCGTCGCAAATGCAAAATTTTTGGTAGCGAATTCATGAATTTTTTTATAAAAAGCTACAAGTTTATATAAAAAGTGGTAAAGAAAAAAAAGTCTTGGAATCATTCAAAAAATACACTTCTATTTTTTCCAAAAGATCTGAGCAACTATTTTGATTTTGCAAATTAACAATTTTTCGAAATTTGAAAAATTGATGCAAATTTTTCTAAGAAAATCACACGTACTCTTTAAATAATTTCAATGACTTTCTATTCTTCGATATTTTTTCAAATACTCCACTATTTTAGAAAAAAAAATTTCTTAAAATCGAAGTAGTATCGACTCATTATAATGGTCGGATGAATCTGCAAAATTTTTGTATGTTAGCCGTAAATACATAGTACTTATGATATTTACAATAACATTTATAGCTTTTTGATGAGAATACAATAGCAAGCAGCACATTCGTAAACAGCACAGCTGCAACTGGTAAAAATGGCTGAAATATGTTTTTTATGTTATATGTTTCAAGGGTTAATTTCATCCTTCCATTGGGGTAGTTTTTTTAACCTGTGGGATAATTTAGGTAAATAAAACAAGACATTTAGTAAACAACGTCATACTAATCATCTTGGGTACCAAGTACCTCGAAGGCCTTCGCCAATCTCATATTCGTATTCAACGTTCCCAAAAACCACCGAAGTTTGAAAACTTTTTTAAAAAGATTTAGTGGAAAACTCCAGGAAACGACATTCATACCGATGATCCTGGCCACCGAGTTAGCTCGAGCGCCTTCGCTCGCCTGGTGCCCAAGATAATTAGTATGACGTCGTTTACTAAATGTTTTTTTTATTTACCTAAATTATCCCGCAGGTTAAAAAAACTACACCAATGGTAGGGTAAAATTAACCCTTTTACACCAGAGACCAAGGAACAGTCGAAACAGTGGACTTTACCCGGTGAAAGTGCTCCGAAGAAGGCGAAGACTGCGCCATCGGTCGGAAAGGTGATGGTCACCGTTTTCTGGGATACACAAGGTGTGATCTACATCGACTACCTGGAGAGGGGCAAAACGGTCACAGGGCTGTACTATGCCGAATTATTGGGCCGATTCGACGTCGAATTGCAGAAAAACCGGCCCCATTTGGCGAAGAAAAAAGTGCTCTTCCACCATGACAACTCACCGGCTCACACCTCCGCCATGGCCAAATTGGTCAAATTAGGCTACGAACTGCTGTCCCATCCACCGTATTCTCCAGATTTAGCACAGTGCGACTTCTTTTTGTTTCAAACTTGAAAAAGTCAGTCGCCGGGCAGAAATTTGAGTCGAATGAGGAGGTAATCGCTGCCACGGAAGCCTACTTTTCAGACCTCGAGCAAACGTATTTTTCAGACGGGTTAAAGAAGTTGGAGCATCACTGGGCCAAGTGTATCGAACTAAAAGGAGACTATTTTAAAAAATAAAACGCCACTTTTCCAAAATTTTCATTTTTCTTTTGTAAGCTAAGTACTTATCGGACCACCCTCGTAGGGTCCATTTCCGCTAATTTTGCTCGCACCCTGCTCTGAAAGAAAAGTTATAGACAATATCTAGATCCACAGGGTAAACTGTGGCGCGAAATTAGGCCGACGGATAATTACTCTGAAAATTCTCCGTCACAAGGCTCTACTGCTAATGTATTACTTGCTATTGCAGAGCGTAGCTACTTATGGCATTATTGCTTGGGGCCAAGCTTATAGCAATAAATAATGTACTATCCAAATAATACAGAATAAACTAATTGTAACTTTTACTTACAATATCAAAAAACCTCCCTCTACTACTATCGATTTTTGTACAATCTAGCTGTTGAATAAATTGCTATAAGAAAATAAAAAGATACAAAATAATTATTTCTAAAATAAATAAAACATTAACCTTAGAATTCAAATATATGTTGCTACTAAAATTTAATAGAATTTTAACAAAGATATGAAAGGGGTGGAATTCACAGATAATAAAAAAAACAAATTCATTCATCAACTTTTGGTGGTAATGTTCAATTTTTATGACTTATAGTTCCTTCGATGAATAACTTAAAAATTCTAGGCAATTGAATTCACTTGAACTAAGGTAAAACTTACGCTGTAGTATCATAGTGAATCTAGCAAGATTAGTATTCTTCAGGGTATTTAATAATATAACATACTTGGAAATTAATCATAGTAAATTTTGATACAGTGTTTTAAAGTGTTTTTTGACATACCACAGTCTCCAATGTAGAATTCTTCATATTTGTTGAAAATAAAAGATAATTCATCGATAATTCCCATTTGTAGTAGACTGCAGATATTTTTATAAAAATCTTATTTCTTTTTCTACAAGTTTTTTAGGTATCCTAAATTGTGTACTTTCGGTATTATTATTGATCCGGTTGTTGTGGCATCTTTTTGGCATATTCTTTTTGATTGTTTATCGAAAATTGTATTAATTGTCTAATTTAAAGTTAAAATTTTGAATATGGCCGACTATTCTCCTCAAGAAATTGATATGATTTTAGTTCTCGACTAGATTTTAGTCACAGAGCAGCGACAAGAATTTATGCTCGACGTTTTCCGAATAGGACATCCTGATTATACAACTTTATGGCGATTAACTCGATGAGCTCGAAACGGACATATTCACCGACGCAGACGCTGCGATTTTGATTTGTGCGGATGCTCGCACATTAACTGTTCTAGCGGCTGTCCATCTGGATCCTCACATCAGCAGCAGACAAATAGAAAGGGAAATCGGTATACCTGCCATCAAAAACAGGTGTTCCTACTTAAAATTGACCTTGAAATAACCTTGTAAAAATATGCTCGAGGTCAAATGCAATATCACCGAAACATAATCCCCTCAAAGTTAAACAACTTTTGTCTGATACTTTTTTTTCGAGAATAGCTTACTAATCGAGATATCTTCGTGGGGCAATTAAAATTGGCTACCTTGTATATACACTTCTCTTAAAGGAACAAAAGAGATTTCTAATTTTTTTGGCAATTTTCAACAGGCTGTATTTCAGTGAGAAATTGTCTTACAGGAAATAAAAAATATAGCTTTTGAAGCTTGAAAACTCTAGATTTCGAATTTTTTGGTTACAAATTTTTCGTAATATCTGTAGCCATGCAATTCTTGGATAAAGAACGAAAAAAAAATGTTACAAAATTTTTACATTATTATTTTACTCTACGGACAGGAAAAAAATTTTTTCCAGCTAGACCAATGCATAGGTCGCATAGCCTGTTCATTCAGTTTAAATTGGCTTTTCGCGGTTGTCAGATACGACCATTTGTCTTTGAGATATCAAATTTTAAATGCAAAAGGATCTATTTTCACTCAACTACCGATATCTCTGAAACTACTGGTTACCCAGCGAATGGACAGGGGGTTTCGTTTTCTGCAGAAGATTTCCTACAAAAATTTGTCATGGTTGATTGGAAATAAAATTTTCTTTTCTTTGTTTTCAAGACAAACAAGGTTTCTGATTGATTACTGATTTACCGCCGGCATTAGTGTTATCCGAAGCATACCATGTGGAAGTTGCACGATTGGATTTATGCTTCTTTTGTGCTCACACACGTGAGTTAGATTCTTTGGAAAAAATGAGACCCTGTGGTTTGTCAGTTTCACAGTATTGAACGGCTCCAAACTCATTTTCTAAAGTGTGTAATGTGTATGTTTTCAGTATCGAGTGTTCCCGCCTCTACTCCTAATTACAGCTTGCAACCTTTATCGTATATTCGAAATACAATTTTGGATCATCCGTTGAGGGATCTGATGCCATACTCTTATCAGAGCGTTCTCTAATTCTGCTAAATTATTCAGATGGGGATAATTTTGACGCAATCGGCGGTCCAATATGTCCCAGACGTGCTCTATGGAATTCAGGACAGGACTCATTGCAGAATGTCTCAACAATCTAATGTTATTATTCTAAAAGAATTGATGGGTGGTATTCGCTGGGTGAGGCCTAGTATTATCTTGCATAAAAATAAATCCTCTCCTGTTTCGTACTAACGGTAACATACGAGGTTGCAAGATTCGGTCAATGTAACACCTAGCATTGAGAGTGTCTCGAACAACCACTAAAGGAGTACGAGAATCCCGTGAAATTGCCGACCAAACCATCACCGATCCTTCACCGTAAGCACTATGGGACGAATAAAATGCTGTTGATAACGTTGACCTGTACGACGCCAAACTGGAGGTCTTCGATCATTACCATGCAGGTGAAATCGAGACTCGTCAGAAAAAAAACGCTGTTCCAATTTCTCATTGACCAGTTCACATGATTGTAA